ATGTGGGGAAGGGCTTGAGTTTCGGATATTCCCACACTTAGGTCTCAATATGCTATATGGAGGTACAAGGTCTTTCTTGCCCTCCTTCATGGACTATAGCTCCAGTGCCAATTTGACTGTTTAGGCTTGAAATAAGATGATCTCTACATACTTAAAAGCAAAAGTAAACCCAATTTTAAATCAAAATGCTCTACGTCTAGCTTTGTATTTTAAAAAGTCAAAAAAAATGGGGTGGAGGGGAATTTTATTTGGCTTCTGCCACTCAGAAATAACACAGTAAGGTAACTTGGGAGAATGATGACTTTTAACATGTTAACCACTGACCATACGACATTTTCATCAGTGTAAATATAACTCCTCGTTATTCTGCCAAGGTTGCACTGAATCATACAACCGCCAGTGAACTCAGACTTTCTAAATATTCTTATTTCATGTAAAAACACACTAATGAAAGTGCTTTTAATTTTAGGTAGCTCTTCCTTCTGAAACACTGGTATGTGCTGCCCTGATAAACGGGAATGCCAGGAAAACTGATCATCCAGAGAAAAAATCCGTTAGTGTTCAAACAAGTTCTTAGGCTATTTGTGTATGGAAAAAGCCCAGAGGTATTCAGGAATTGGCATCAGTATATTTACATTTGCATTCTCCTCAATTCAGTGTTAATATATCCTTCATCACGACCCGTATACTAATTACGGAGTGCACAGAGTCTCAGAAAGCTGCAGCAAGTTACAGGCTGGATTATTACTTCGTATTGCTGAGGAACATGATAAACCATATTTACAAATGAGGGCTCCCCTGTGACCAGGTGCTGTACAATTTGAAGGCAACATCTCATAGACCTTATCTTTGAAACCCAATGAGTCAATCCAAAGCAGCTGACAGTAATTTCCCAGTTAAGACATTTTTCATCCTCTCAGGTGAACTGAAATTGTGTCTCGTCTTTTGTATTTCAGAGACCACCCCATTTCAGAGACCACCCCAATCCCTTGCGTGGTCTTGGAGCACACCAGAGATCACACGACACAAAATTATCACCCTTCAGGTCTTCACTGAAACAAGGTTTATAGCTCACACAGTTATTCTCTAAATCAGATATGAACTGGGGACACCAGCTCTTATGTTAATGAAAGGGTACCCCATTCTAGTGCTGATGTCCCTGTTTGGGGAGACAACGGTCTTCTGTACGTATTTTGGGCCAGAGTGGGCCACTTGGGTCACCTCACTTGAACTCCAACAACAAGAGCCAGACACACCCATCTGGGTACTCCTGTCTTCAGCCCAGCAATTACAGGTGAAGCAAGAACATGTAACATTTACATATATCTGCAGAAAGTGCCCAGGAATGTTGAAAGTCAGTACAAGAGGAGAGTATAGAAGTAGCATTTTCTTAACACACAGTTTGTTGCATCTTCCCTGCATGAGAATATATATTAAGCTGATGATGCCTGACTTTAAATATATCAGACTCCAGGGACAGGTGACAGCGAACACAGTCCACAACCTTTCATCACCAAGTTCGAAGTTCAGCTCAGCTCACAGGCCAAATGAGATTCATAGTCTAGCCCTTAATTCCTGAAGCTTGAATACATTTTTTCAAAGTGGTGCAATTGCATAACACAAACAACAAGGACTGCCAGAAAGTGCGATTGAAACTTCTCTAGTGTCTGGTTGACTCTACTTGTATTATCAGGCCCCAGCTTGACATGTGCCTGAATAGCTGAATGCCAGATGAGAGCGAAGGTGGCAGGCATAATGCAAATATTTTTATTAAGTTGTTGAAGTGTTTCTGACACAACAACAGTAATATCATACCCTTAAAAATGCCTCCCTAAAAACTATCCTGAAGTTTAGCTATCATACAAGATGCATTTGGTAACAGCAGCATCTTTATATATAAAAATTGTGAGGTTCGTTTTTATTTCCAACAGGAACTCTGTAAACAACAGGAAAGTCTGTAATTCTAGTGAGCACCCAAATAATTGGACAAGTCTGGGAACAACTGCTGGGCCAGTTGCAAAGATGTAAACTTACAGGATAATTTCCATTGCCAAACAGGGAGCTAGCTTTCTCTTTGAACTTCGGGGGAAACAAGGATAAACTACTTATTATAAAAGATGATCATTTAGTATCATCATAGCACTTTCTAAAAATCTAACCAACAAGCCAAAGCATGAGCTAAAGGTAGTTATTTACTTCCAAAAATATAACTATGTTCCATACTTCCACATACATGGCTGAAAAAAGATCAGAAGGTATAGCAGCTATTTTGAAACCCGCATTTCCATCAACCATCTTAGTTTATTTATATATTCCCCACTTACCTTGAAGTACTGCCCACACCAGCAGCATTTCCCAGTTTGGAGAATAACCATTAATTTCACACCACAATGTTTTTTCTAGAGATATAATTACACAGAAGACAAGTATTCTTTATTAAAATATTTGAAGGCATGTTAGGTAGGTATAACTGGTAGTTATTCAGGAACATAGGTTTTTTGTGTTTTTTTTTTCCTCTCCCCCTCCCTCCTTTTTTTTTTTTTTTTGTTTGCCAGCTAATAAGAGCTTTGGAGATGTAAAGAAGTGACTTGATCCCAATGTGCTTTTAATATTGTAATAAATGATGCAGTGAGATACAGAGTAATCAGGCTGAAACTCTTCTGTGCAAGACAACTATTCTAACACATGCTTGACATCGACAAATGCATTCTCCCAAGGCCTGGTGCACTACAAATGTACTGTGACATTTTCTTATGGTTTATTCTTTTAAGATAATCTCTAAATTATTCCTTCTTCTTATATTTGATAGAGTAATCTGGATACACATTTGTTGAAGTTTCTAGTATCTCCCAATCGGTTGAGAAAATGAGTTATTCTTTATGGATATAACTATGTCCAGATCCAAAACCCCGTGTCAAAACAGAATATAACTAAATAAATCTGTTCCAAATGTTCTTCCTGTTGTTTTTTTTTTAGTTTCTGCTTTCATCCTAGAACTTATGTTATTTCTCTTCTTTTGCCTTTTCTGATAACACACACAATACAACATGCCATTTACAACTGTAGTATTTCACTATAGCATAGCAAGGACATGCCAGCATAGTCTCTGAATTGGAAGTTGCAAGTATCTTGTGAAGTTTAAATTACGAAGCATAGTCTCATCAGAATGACATTTCTTTTGGGATTGAAGCACTGGGACAATAAAACGTCATAGAAAGAATGCAGACACACAAAATGTCTGCAGCTAGAAGCTAACACACAGCAGAAGCTACATGTAAGACAAGGGAAAAGAGGGAGAAAGGAGAAAGAGAGGATGTGTCTTGAAGAACGGGAGCAGAGAAGGAAGAAGAAGAATGAGTGCACACTCATATAAAGAACAGGGAAGGGTATTTTACCGATTCTTTTTTCCTGGTTCACAGAAATCACTAAACTGACTGCTAATTAAAGTGTCTAAGCTTCAGTTTTCAGAAAGAGGAAATCAGCTCCTCCACTTTTTAAAATACCAATCTTGTCTGCCTTACGATGGATACTTACAAATTCTGAAGTTGCCATGTTCTGCTATCTAAATGTACAAATAAAAATGGAAACAAGTGCAGACAATGAATAGGAAATGTGGTACGGACAGCAAAGGTTAAGAAAAGCATCAGATCTTCAGCACTTGAAAACAAACCTATGCAAGGCAGGAGGGCTGAAAGTCCAACCCCATATGCAAATGTCATACCAGTGTTAATTAAAGGTGAAGATTAAGAGTTGCCGCTAGCAAAAAGGTTTTCTAAATAAAACTGGAATTTTGACTGAAAGACCACTTTCAGAGAGACTTATTTTCCTCTGAAGATGTAATGTCCTGCTGTTTTCTGTGTCTCTGGAAAGGAGATAACTTCTCTGAGAAATTTCCCTCTGAATTCCAGTTGGTGGGAAAATCAATGGCCTCTGATGGAAGTTACCATTTGGTCCTGGTTACTGAATGTTTAAAATTACTTTCTTTCAATTTCTAGTACTCTTAAGATTAGCCTTACTATGAATTCAGGGATGTGATAAATTCCACATTCTCATTTTCATGTGTCTGCCCAAGAAAACTGAGACTGCCTATCACTGAGATGACTACTCCGAATCAAAACTGATAACCTGAAAGAGGGTGAGAACATCAAGAGAATATCAAAACTCAGATCCACAGAAGTCAGAATTTTCAGTAGACAGGACAGATCTGTATCACAAAACCTGCAAAATGAAAAGCCTGAACTTATCACAAGCAATGACAGGCTGTTAGAAACAAATAAGAAGAGAGAGGAAGGGTGAAATGACAAGATAAAGGACTTAATAAACACATTAAAATCAGGGTGAAAATACTCAAAGTGATTCCTTACTTTTAATAATAAAAGCCCATCCCTAAATGTATTCTTCACAACAGCACAACAATAAACGCTTTTCTGGCGTGTATGCACGAGTGTTGAAGATTGGAGGCTGGGGGGGGGTGAGGGCGAGGTTCAATTAGATGCTGGGGACTCACAAGCAAATCAAACTTGTCTGCGAAGGGCGGCTTCCTGCTGGTGACTGAGCCTTCACCCAAACAGTCAAGAGGAAGGGGCATAAGCAAAGCATCGCAAAGGACCCTCCCGATTGTATCAGAGTGGAGACAACTAGGACAAACAAACTCAGGAAGTGGCAGGGAGTTAGAGACCGAGAGGAAATCTATGGCACAGAGAGGAAAGCGAAGAGATTGCGCCGATCCGCAGAAAGGTCACCTCTGGGTTGCGCTGTGCCAAGCTTTTTCAAAACCGCTTTATTTGGACTATAATACAAAACTGGCACACACAGCTGGCGGCTGCTGCAGAGGCTATTCAAATGTTAACATTCTCAATGATAAACAGCCAAAAAAAGTTCTATGTAAGCAAACTGGAACAAACAACTAATCTAAATCTGGTTGCTAAGAGACAGAGGATTGCAGCCAAAACCAGCCCCAAGCCTCAAGAATACTTTATTTTTGATAAAAAAAGAAGTACCTGTAGATGACACCATGTTGGTGAAGAAACATGAGTGCTGATGTGACCTCTGCTGCATAAAAGCGGGATCGAGGTTCGTCAAATTTGCGTGAGCGCTGGATTTGAAACATTAGGTCTCCTCCATTTACATATTCCATGACGAAAAAGAGGCGGTCCTGAAATTAATTAAACAGTGTTATTTAGCTAATTTCTTTTAGTCACACAAAGGACTGCTTAAAGCTACACTTCAGCCGACTGGAGCATTTACGTCAAGAAAGGAAAGAAACAAATGCTACAATTCTGAAAAAGGAAAAGCTGACAACCAAAATCCCCCAAACCTAAAGAAAACAAGTCGTGAGTCTCAAAACCAGAAAAGGAGAATAGAATTAAAATGTAGTAATAAGCGACAAGCACATAAATTTCTATGCATCACCAAATACACATGGAATTACAATCTATTTTATACAGGAACAGAGATACTTAAATGATGCCATTTCTTTTAAATTTAGCCATACACTGAAGAAAGTAAGTCAACTCTGTCAACTACTGACAGGCTGCTGGACAAATTTCAGGGTCCGTATGTCTTCTCTCTTACCATCTACTTTGTCTCTAAGTGTCTTTCCTGAAATATGCAAAACCAAATTAGAATTGTTAAGCTATAGAAACCAGTGCTGCCAATGTCAAACAGTTATATATGACTTTTTGAATTGTCTCACACTCTTGTAAGATAATGAAATATTACTACATTATAAAAAAACATATTTTTTAATTTTCTTTTGACACTTATCTCTTAAAAAATTTAAACTTTTCAAGCCTATTTCCATGATGAAGAACTAGAAACGAAATTTACTTGAGAACAGCAACTGAGATTTTCACACAGTCACCCCATTCTGGTGTGGTTCAGAAAAAAAAAATCCCAGAAGTTAAGCACTCAGTGAAATAGTCAGAACGACAGTAAACTAAATTTCGCTCTCTGATCACATGGCACACAGGTGGGTAAGCATGAGACTTCATCAAAGGGACCCCCTCTCCAATTTCCATGTCACACTGCAGTTTGGCTCTAGCTGATGCTGTCTGGTGTGCTGGGTTGAAGCAAAGGAGACGATTTGCAACATTGCTTTGGACAAGCAAAAACAACAGAAGATGGAAGTTAATTAACTTCCCATAAGCGAATCCAAGCCTGCAGATTACATAGTTTATATATATGAGTCCAGAAATCCACAAAAGTTTGCTATTTGTCTTTAATCATCTACTCTACGGCTCAGATTCAAAGCACAGCACTTAAAAATATTCTTAAACTTAAGTGTGTGCTTTAATCCTGCTCATTAAGTGCCTAAATGTTATACTTATCAAGGATGTTTCCTGGAGGAAGACAGAAGTGTTTGGCTGACTTTTTGCTGATTACTTAAAGAGGATGCAGAAAAAAACCCTTGTGCCTTTCCCGTTTGTATCTTGGGAATACAGAAACTGCCAGACTGCCAGATTCAGAATCCAGGTGGACTGGCGTTCTTGGTAAAATACTGCTAACAACTTTGGTACATTCTCCAGTACTTTTCTTACAATTTCCTAGTAAGGAAGATCTACTAAAGAATAGCATCAAAGCTTCTGGCTGTATCATATGCTCCAAAGAGCATGGCTTCAGAGCCATCCCTTTGTTCTTTCTGCAATGCTTAGTACCGCTGATAAGAAACATTCAAAATTATAGTACAGTTCTCTTGACATTAGTGTAGGTTTTAAATATAGAATCACAGAATCATAGAACGCGTTGGGTTGGAAGCCACCTTTAAAGGTCATCTAGTCCAACCTCCCTGCATTAAGCATCTTTAACTAGATCAAGTTGCTCAGAGCCCCATCAACTCTGACCTTGAATGTCTCCAGGGATGGAGCCTCCATCACCTCTCCAGACAACTTGTTCCAGTGTTTCACCACCCTTGTAGTAAAGAACTTCCTCCTAATGTCTCATCTAAATCTACCCTGCTCTAGTTGAAAACCGTCGCCCCTTGTTCTATTGCTAAACACACTTGCAAGCAGTCCCTCCCCAGCTTTCTTGTAGGGCCCCTTCAAGTACCAGAAGACCACTCTACGGTTTCCTCGGAGCCTTGTCTTCTCCAGGCTGAACAGCCCCAACTCTCTCAGCCTGTCTTCATAGGAAGGATGGTCCAGCCCTCTGATCATTTTGTGGCCCTCCTCTGGACCCACTCCAACAGGTCTATGTCCTTCTTATGTTGAGGGCTCCAGAGCTTCATTGTTTTAAGAAAAAACATGGGTCCTTGTGCTGTCTCTCTGACTTCTCTCTCGAACCAATGAGAATTACAGCCTTGCTTTTAGAAGAAAATCTGACAGCTCTCAGATGGTCTTATGATTTCTGAAGCTAGAGCTTAAGGATAGCACCAAATGCAGTCAGTTTTGTGATAAAGTCAGTCAAAAGCATAGCTGTGTAGGTACTGTCATGTAACATAAGAGGACACAACATCCCTAAGAGGATGATGCGGGCATTGTCCTTTGTTAGGCTCCTCATCACTGCACCACAGACTATCTCTGAAGCGCAGTTTTGGTATAAGTGTCCCTTTGCAACACGTTGCCTTAGATTATCTCACATGGATATAGTTCAGCATTTCAATTACAAAACACATTTGGACTGAAGGCTGGGGAGTGTCTGACTAACATTTGGCTAAAGTAACTCCTAACACTTATTTAAAGTGACTCTCCTTGCACTGCTATTTTAACCTCTCCAAAGTCAACAGTCTGGATGTGAGTGGGCACAACCAGGAAAATGAAGCTGCAATTCACATTCCCCTGAGCAGCCATACTCATTCCCAACACTGCTACGTTTTTGCTGCACCTGTATCATGAGTATAAGACAAATGATGTCAATGCAAAGTGATTGTGCTGTGTCTTATAACACGACACCCAAATGGTGATCCTCCATCTGCCACTAGCTGGGAGCTTCTGACTGTTAGGCATGATGCACAAAAATAACAATAAAAAAGGCTGGCTTACACAATTGTATAGATAAGGGTCATTTCCCAGCACGTCAGGATATACACTGCATCATTTTAAATTAAGTACTTGTCCTGGGTTTAGCTAAAAACACAGTTCTGTTTAGTGATTTTTACTTTCCAGTTTAGTCTCTTCTCAGAGGCTGCAGTTTCGGAAGTTCGCAGCATGTTTTTGCAGACAGTGTGTGCTACTGGCAGTGATAACACCTGATGTTTACAGTTACTGCCTGGGACTGGGATGCAGAAAGGCTCTTGCTGATATTTATTCCTATAGTGACCAAGGCCACTGCTGGCTCTTGTGTGCCACGCTGGGTGTGACGGGTAGTAAGAGGGGTCACAAGGAAGTAAAAGGTGGCACCTTCAGGGGGTAATAGACAGGACAGGTGACCAGGAAGAGTATTCCATTCCATATACATCATATTTAGTAAAAATTGAGTGATTACAAGAGTTTCGTCCCCTTTTCTGCAATGGCCGGTGTCCAGGGAGGGCTCCATTTGACCTCCTGCTTTTGATCTGGATCCTGACTTCTCGAATCCAACTCCTGTATCCAGCTCCCGCCACTGCTGAGTCTGGGGCTTACTCAGTGCTGCCTGCTCTGCCGCATCAGTGGGGATTCATATCGAGGGAGGGAGTCGGGTTTGATATCAGGCTACTATCTATAGCTGTATATACTTCTTTACTTTTATCATTTCACCATTATTTCTATTGTTTCATTAAAGTTGTTCTAGTTTTTCTTCTCTAACCCAAAAGTCTCTCTGCCTCGGTCCCTTTTCCTTCCCGTCTGGGGCAAGAGGGGGTTAGAGAGCATCTGTCCATGTTAGTGGCCGGCCCAGCCCTCACTCGCAACAGTACCCTTGATCCAAATAGAACCAACATTTTTTATGACAGTCACCAAACTCCTAACTGGTGTTTCTAAATATCAGAAACCGGGCTTAGTTAAAACCTGAAGTTGTCTTATTTTGGTTTTAGTCCTCTGTAGAATATTTTCAGTTAGCCTACTGAAAACTGAAACTGGATTGTTTAGCAGAATATCTTGTCATTAGACGCAGAACAAAAGCTTTAGCAGCAGCTCCATTGCAATAGCTGGAGAGTGATAATTCGCCTATCCTCTTTCATCTTATACACATCCCATTCTCAGTTTGAAGGGGTATTTTCAGAAGATTCTGCAGCTTAGTTGACCATCTCACCAAAAGTATACCTGCTAAAACTAGAAGTAACAGCTCAGTGACTGAAATCACTCTGCAGTTGCATTTTTCTGCTACACACTAATATTTCACGTTACTTTTTCAGCTTCTCTTGGTACCTTTTCAGTTTCCTAAGGAGAATTCAGAGAAAAAAAATTATTTTGAAAGTTCTTATAGTAAGTCTGGGAGAGGGTTTGATTTTGAGAGTGGAGAAATACTAATTCTCACCCACTGACATGGGGTAAACACTAAGTTGCACAACATGCACATGCAGCAGCAGGTCAGAGTTTCAACATCAGAAGGTACCATCTCTTTCAATGAAATATATTCAGTCCTGATGAAAGCCACTTTCTTAAAATCACTCTCTGGTATTTTCGTTTATTCTTTTTTAATCAGGACAATGATATGATGAGCTCAGACTCAATTTTACATGAAAAGAGGATGCAAGAGAAGAGAGAATACTTTATGTACATGAGACTGGCAAATCCATTTTTCTCCTGATTCCCCTAATCTCAACAACAATAGATGCTATTTTGATCTTTGCTACTTAAACTTTTTTTCCTATCTTTCATCAAAAGTTAACGGTCAATATACAGGTTCCTAACTCCCTGGCTATTTCCTTTCTGTCATAATGTAAGCACATACATAGAGTGATACAATGAGACATCTGTGACTTCAATGCGGAGAGGATTTCATCCTGTGAAATAACCATACTATACCTGATTATATGCATCTTGCTACATGTATCACTGGGATATATTCAAACATAGAAGTGGGAGAGTATAAAGTGAATGGTCTAAAGAATTGTACATTAAGGGACAACGCAGTCTTTACTCGGTTAAAAATGAGATACAAGGTATGACTATCATTGACTGCGTTCCAAGAAAAAACTAAATGCGTTTGGTTTGGACTGCATTATTTTTGTACTTCATTTTCATAACATTTGAGAAGTATGTTTTGCTGAATGAAATAAATGTAAAGCAGTCTTGAGAA